GGGGGAAAGAAAGAGATGGCCTGTATCCCAGACTTGATTCTGGGTTAAATTGCACTGCAAGTTGTTACTGATTACGGAAAAAATCCGTTACAGCCTTGAACTAGACTAAATCTGGATCCGAGAAATGATACAGCCACAACAAGAGGAAGGTTCGACATGTTTTTTTTTAAATATTTTTTTAATTTATTTTTTTGTCCTCTTCTTCTTTTTAGCTTTACAAGTATTACTAGTGCTTTTAAAAGTTATAAAGCAACGTAAACGAACAACGGCCATAGATTCGTGATTATTATTCACGACTAGTCAAACCTGTGAATCCTATCCTTCTGTAATCTCTCTAAAACATCACTAATCTAATGGCCATTTTGAAGCTTTATCCTAATAATAAATAAGTCAGACATCAGTCAAGTAATTGCTTTGACGATACTAACCTTCAGTCTCAAGCTCAGTTATCATATTCGCTCAAAAATCAGTAGGAAACTGATAATAGTATGGATGATGTCTTTTACCCTCTCACTTCAGTGCACTGCAGATGTTCAAGGATATTATTACTAAGTTTGCTTTCTGGGTGCCAAATACTCAATAAGACAATGACAGTATTCTGTAGAGCTTAAATGTACTGGTTTTTGTTCTATTCTTATACTACCACATATCAGTTTGAGGAGGTAAGTATCAGACTCAAGGTCTGTAATTTGAGATTTTGTCGAGCTAAAAGTATATGGACTATAGCGATGAGAGCTGTACGATGCCAAGTAGACAGTGTAAAATATCTCAGAATTTCCACAAAATGGCCATGTTGATAGTCAAACATCATTTAGGAATTGCGGATGTGGTGGTCATACTCAAATTGTTCCCAAATCCTGTTGTCCCCTTGAAGTCTCTGCTGTTCCTTCTGCCTTGTTATCTAGAGCATGTACAACAATCCTCTTTTAATGCCAACAACAGAAACTTTGAATGAACAAGATACAAGGTACAATCAGCCTGGAAAGAAAGAACCGTTTAAATGTGAGCTCCTTTGCTGGAGATGAAAGTTCTGGGGTTTGTTGGGGGAGAGAAGGCAGGGTAGGTTGGAAAAGGTTCTTAAAGCAGTTGCTTGTGTTAACTGTGAATGACAAAAATAAAATCATCTTCAATGTTTTGCACTACAGATTGGGGGTTGTCTTGATTATTTTCCTCCGTGATTAATTTCGCTTTGATGTCTGGAATGAAATGAAACACAATTTGAGGCCTACAAGCTACGCTGGCAAGCAAACATCACTTCCTTGAATGTTGGCCGTAATTATTTGAAGCTGATTTAAATGGGTAATACTTGTTGACAAACAATAGATAAAAATCTTTTGTCACTTATTATTTATTGTTTCAAATGTCTCCTTTCGTGTTCCACAGATGAAAAACATAGGTTGTAAATGACATGAAGGAGAGTGAATTATTAATTTCTCTTTAACATTCTCTCTCCCTCCTGAAGACATTTGAATTATTATTATTGAAAAAAAGGCAAAATTACCAATAATTTGTCTACAAACATTTACACGACCACTAGAGGGCACTGTTGTTCTTGATTATCAACCATCAATCAACAGGTGCAGTCGAATCGTTATTGACTCTCCTGAGCGTTATGGCTCAAAGCATATCTACAGATTAGCATGGGTGCTCATTTGAGGTACAACGATATATTGCATTAAAGGTTTTGCACTTTCCGTACAGTTCTGTAAGATTCAGTATATGTCCTATTCGAGGGGGTAAAAAACTGTACACTAGCTTGCTGGTTTTAGCTGGTCTCCCCGTTTGGTCAGTTGGTTTTTAAAGTGCTTTGAGTACATTACAGCAGGCAAAGCTGGAACTGATGACACTACTAATCGATCTTTGCCATTTTAGATCAGCAAATCGGGTTAAATATGTTTTTTCTCGCCAGATTTTTATTTTAATTATTTATCTACAAAATAAGTAATTTTCATATACTAAGCTCGATGTCAAAATATTATATATTAGTGAAGTCTGTGAACCGAATGGAGTTCAAACAGCTTATATTTTATGTAGATAGTGACCTAAACATATGGCACATATGGTGCAATTATTCAGTCCCTGCGCGTCTTGTTGAAATTCAGTGGCAGAGCGAAACACGACGAGAGCTTCTACAACTGAGAAAGTAAGATTAGTTTATCAAACGTGTGCATATGTAGAACTATTTCATGACTGAGTCAAAAAAAAAATCTTATGTTTAATTTAGCAGTACTCTGAGGGGTCAGGGAAACTGATGCAGAATAATTGGACGCAGAGGGAATCCATACCAATTTGTGATTTCAGAATCTACTTGAGAAATTAGATGTCAGTGCAAATATGAAATTGCTCCTCAATGTTTTCAAAGATTGTATGAAATTTCAAGTATAAATCTTAAGTATTCACAGCAAAGGGATTTCACTCTTCTCTCTTTGCCAACTTGAAATGCAACCCAGTGAAATTGTCAGGACAGGCTGAGGCAAGCTGTGCCATGCGGTCATGATTGGGCTATAAAGAGTCTTATTTTTATTTCATTATATCTCCGTTTTCTCTTGAAAGTGCTGTAGATTCCTGGTATCAAGGGCTCGTCTTTATTTTTTCATGCATTTGAAAATTATAATTAAAGGATAACTGTATCCAACTGTGAACGTGTGAAATACTTTCAGCATTGTAGTATATCTGGGTCTTGTGTGTAATTAGAAGCCCAGTTAAGGCAAAACTAATTACAATTAACACGGTTAGTTATTTTTGCAGAATGGCAACGTGTTTTCCCCTTATCGTTCCAAGAACTGAAGTGTCTCAGTGTGATAAAAAAAAAAAAAAAACATATTTTATTTTAATGCCGTAGCATGTTCATTTTCCGGCATCCTAAAATCCCGGTTATATTTAAACGTTTGTGTTTATTCCATATGGACACTTGCTGAAGCAGAAACGCTAAACAAGAACATTTTGGTAAGCATATTTCATAGACACCCCTAAAAACTACTTAATTTGTCCTCATTAATAGCTTAAAAGTCCATGAATAAATGATCGTTAAAGAGGATATGTTTTGCTTTATGTTTAGCTAAACGCAAAGTGCACAGAAATTGAATGAATATGAACGTTTATCCGTGAGCCCACCCCTGCAATCACATTTAGACAGCTCACACACACACACCTCTACACCCGGTTTCACAGGAGGGGGGAAAAAGCTTGAGTAGTTGGACCTTTGAGATGAGAGTAAATTCAATTAACCGAGGGTGGTTTGTGTTTTCCTCACTTCTGAATCTGTTATCCAAGTAGACTCAAAACTTAAAAAGGAGAGAAGAAAGGAAACGAGAGCAAAAGGGGAACGAGAGGGAGAGAACAAGGGATGCGCGCCAATCCCAGTGGTTTAATTATTTTAATTATCATCCTCTTTCGGCTTTTCTAAAAAAGGGGCCATTAAAGGATGCCCATTTGGGTTAATCTGATTTTTAAAAAAGCAAGATGGAGGAAGAGATAAAAGGCTGCTGATGTCAGAACTAATCAAGAGAGTTAAAACTGTTATTATATGATCTGGGACTGGTGTGAAAAATCTTTTGAAAATACCTTTCTCCTGTTTCAAACACACCAGCAATTCGCCATTTTTTGTTTTTTTTATGCAGATATATCTAAATATGGACAGAATTATTGTTTAACTTATTATTTTAATTACGTTACCCATGTGATTTTGTTAAAGGGTTAGTTCACCCAAAAATGAAAATTCTGTCATTAATTACTCATCCATGTGACATCAGTGGTTCATCCGCAATTATACGAAGCTACGAGAATACTTTTTGTGCGCAAAAGAAAAAACCCCCCACTTTATTCAACAATTCGTCTCCTCTGCATCACCCTGGTGCCATTTTGTAGAATATCCGCTGGAAGTAAACAATGTATGCTATGCTGTTCTGTGTCAGTTGCGTCACGCCGGATCCGTTTCCTATGTTGTTGTGATTTGATCTGAACGGAAACAGTGTATCCGCGTGGCGCAGCGGACACAGAACAGCATACAGTGGGTACGGAAAGTATTCAGACCCCCTTAAATTTTTCACTCTTTGTTATATTGCAGCCATTTGCTAAAATCATTTAAGTTAATTTTTTTTCCTCATTAATGTACACACAGCACCCCATATTGACAGAAAAACACAGAATTGTTGATTTTGCGCACAAAAAGTATTCTCGTAGCTTCGTATAATTGCGGTTGAACCCCTGATGTCACATGGATTATTTTACAGATCTCCTTGCTACGTTTCTGGACTTGGGAACATTTCAGTTGCGTTGCTGTCTATGCAGGGTCAGACAGCTCTCAGATTCCATCAAAAATATCTTAATTTGTGTTCCGAAGATGATCGAAGGTCTTACGGGTTTGAAACAACATGAGGGTGAGTAATTAATGACATAATTTTCATTTTTGGGTGAACTAACCCTTTAAGGCGCTGCGGTCACATTAACCGTTGTTTGTCGAATTTTCACAAGCGACAATCATTTCAATCCATCCAATTGGAAATTTAAGCTGCGTCCCAAAGTTGAGTGTGCACACTTCGAAGGCCAGGAGAGCTGACCAGAGGACAATCCTGCCAGGATAGGTGGAGCTAGAATTGCTCATTTTTGTTTTTATGTTTTACGTCATAATAGAGGAGACGGTGATGTACCTCAGGTTTAGCCAAGACCGAGGCCAGGCAAGTTACACTGGTTTGCTGCGTCCTTTGCCGGATTACAACTTTAAATGCAGGAATTGGCTTGGAGCTTACTTGAATAATGTAATGATTCATATGAAAAACTACAAAATACACACACACATAGCAGTTCGACCATGGTGATCATATGTAGACAGGTTTGCAACCCGGATTGTTTTGGCAGTTAAGCATAAAAATAAAACTGTGAATAAAAAATAAATAAATAGAGCATTGTACAGCTCAATGTTCAGCGGCAGCTGTCACAGCTGAACAGAGCTCTGTTTGACCGCTCCGAGTCCTTCAGATGCAGCCTTTGATATAGTTAGCAAACATTTGTTAATATTCTGACAAAATGTTGATACTTTCATTTTCAAAATAATCAGAGGTGGACTGTAAGGAAGTACATTCGTTAAGTATTCTCGAACAAATATAAAGTTCTAAGTTTTCTTTTTTTCTCACAGACCGCAACACTAAAAATATGGTCTTTTACAACATGATGCATTGTTGTAGATTCAACTACCCAACAGTATATTTAGTAGGCAACTTTAAATTGAATAACCTTGAACATATTCAGAAGTAAAATGCAACATACAGAGTAGTGCAGCAGTAATATTAATGCAAAACCATCCTGGCGAATTATTTTTTCAGAACAATACTGTATACCTTTACTTTTACTCCCAATACCTTAAGTATATTAGAGTATGCAAGATAATACTTTTAGTTAAAGGATAGTTCACCCAAAAATGAAAATTCTGTAATCATTTACTCACCCTTAAATTGTTCCAGGTTTGGAATTTTCATTTTTGGGTGAACTACCCCTTTAGCTAA